AATCTTGATGACCTTGTTGAACAAGAAAAGTCTAACGAAATGTCAGAACCTGTTATAAATTCAAAAATTCAAGATAAGTATGACCAACTCGAAGGTAATGACATTTATGAGATTATTGATGCCAATGAGCTCAGCCTAGTGCCTGACTTGGATATCTCCTCAAAATTTAAGACCCCAGATTTCGAGAAATATAATGGGACAAAGTGTCTTTCTATTCATATCACCATGTTTTGTAGAAAAATGATAGGTCATACCCATAACGATAAACTATTGATACACTATTTCCAAGATAGTTTGACTGGTTCAGCAGCTAAATGGTATGTGCAGTTAGATCGAAGCAAGATTAATTCATGGAAAGACTTGGCTAAAGTTTTTCTTACCCAGTATAAACACGTCTTGGATACAGCCCCTGATAGGCTGTCATTGTAAAATATGGAGAAAAAATTGATAGAAACCTTCAAGGAATACATACATCGATTGAGGGATGCAGCGGCCCAGGTTCAACCACCACTGATGAAAAAAAAGATAACCGTGCTATTCATCAATACACTGAAGGCCTCGTATTATGATAGATTGGTGGGGAATACCACGAAAAACTTTTTTGACATGGTAATCTCATGAGAGATAATAGAGAACGCTATCAAAAGTGGTAAAATTGAAGGGTCTGAAAAAAAAACAGTAACTTTAAAAAAGAAAGAGCATGAGACACATGTTGTCACTCACAGAAATCCACCACACCATCTTTTTGTCCCGTATAATCCATATCCCCTTTACTACCCTGTCACAAACCAAATCTCTCAACAACCATACCATTATCAAGCACCCCAACAATCGTTACCCAGACCAAGTTTTAGCCCTCAATCATCCAATTACACCTTTATACCTCCAGCTCGACCGTTTACCCGACCGACCTACCCAAACAGCAATAAAAAAAACTCACAGAATAATAATAATCAAGAAAGACCTCATTTTAACCCAATTTCTATGTCTTACATCTATTTGTACCTTCAGTTAATGAGAGGCCACCTTGTCGTTCCTACTTATGCAAAACCATTGAGACCACCTTACCCAAGTTGGTATAACTTTAACGTCAAATGCGATTATCATTACGGAGTTACAAGACACGCTACTGAAAATTGCACGGTATTTAAACACAAGGTGCAAGGTTTGATAAATGATGGGCTTTTATCTTTTGATACTAAATTCAAGCCAAGTGTCAGTGAAAACCCTTTATCGGATCACACCGAAGGAAAAATCAATATAATGGGTAAAAAAAAAAATATGAAAATCAAAAGATGCACAGATGAAGTGAAGACCTCTTTTAAACAGGTGTACGACTGTTTGTATGAGATGGGCATGATTCAACCATTATTTTTGGATGACAATGACAGTCATGAAGATCCTGACCATTTTTACAAATATCATGGGAAATCAACTGGACATTCGATCCAAAGTTATGAGGTCTTTAAGCAAAAATTACAGAGCTTGATGGATAAGGCCATCATTGAATTCTATGATGAACATGATGGAAATAGTGTGAATACAGTGGGTGAGGAGCATCCTAGCAAGTCTTTTATCTCCAAACTTCTCACTGTTTACTATGATGATAAATTAGAGCCTCTAACTGAGAAAACTATCTTCTCTTCTAGGACATCAATGACCATTTATGTCTCTAGTCCATTCCCTTATTAAACTGACAAAGTAGTTTCATGGAGATACGATTATGATGTAGTAATGCAAGGGCTTGATATGACCTCGAACAATCCAAGCATGGAGAATACAACCAACATAACGAGAATAGGAAGAATGACCCGAAGTGGTCGAATTTACACTCTCGAAATGTCAGAAAGGGCCAAGAGAGGGAAAGGTAAGATAAGAGAATAAAACACAAAGGAAAGCCAAGATTCTCAACCGGTGGTAAGCTCGAAAGTGCAAGTTAACAAACCGATGACAAAAAAAAAAGGCTTGTGAGTTTTTAAAAATCATCAAACACAGTGAGTACAATATGATGGACCAACTAAATAAACTGTCAGCTCGTATTTCCTTACTATCATTACTACTGAATTCTGAGCCGCATAGGAATGCTTTATTGAAAGTGCTCAACCAAGCTTATGTCGAGCATAACATTTCTGTTGAAAAAGTAGACCACATGGTTAGAAATATTATAGCTCCAAATTTCATCACCTTTAATGATGATGAAATACCTCCAAAAAAACATGATAGTGTTAAGGCTTTACATGTTACTGTCAAGTGTAAGTCTCACACTATGACCAAAGTGCTGATTGATAATGGATCATCTATCAATGTTATGCCTCTGATGACATTATCAAAGCTTCCAGTGGATCCCTCTCACATGCGAAATAGTCATATGATTGTAAGAGAATTTGACGGGGCATGAAGAGAGGTAATTGGTGATATAGAGATCCCATTATAGATTGGTCTTTATACCTTCAATATCATATTTCAAGTAATTGACATAACTCCAGCACATAGTTGTCTACTTGGAAGATCTTGTATTCACACGATCGGAGCTGTACCTTTATCACTACATCAGAAGGTAAAATTCATCATAGAAGGAAAACAAGTCTATATGGATGGTGGGAGGACTTGTTGGTAACAAAAACCTTAATAACTCTTTACATTGAGACAGCAGAAGAAGCAATTAAATATTCTTTTAGAGCTTTTGAAGTAGCAAATGCTACTTACATAAAAGAAAGGTCAAAGATGTCGATCTCTCAATTATCAAAAGCTACTAATATGGTGATCAAGTAGACTTTGGCAAGGGTTGGTGAGTCAGACAAGGCTTAGGGAAAGCTCTACAAGAAATCACAAGAGCACCATGCCCAATTGAAAACAAAGAAAGATGGAAGTTAGGCTATAAGCCTACAGCTGCTGATAAAAAGAATATAATGCTGGAGAAGAAAAAAAAAAGAATGGCACGCCTCAAAGGACAAAATTCAATTGATGGGAAAATGATGTTCCTTTATTTGTATGAAACCTTCCATTCAGTTGGGCATATCTATCATGGGTCGATAAAAATTAAACAAAGAGGACTGGTAATGGGATTAGAGGAAGCTTTCTCACGACTTCAAGTGCAAGTGGGTGAAGAAGTCATGCAAGATGAAGGGACCTTTTTTTTTTTTTAGGAGACTCGAAGAATGGTGTATCATTTTTGTTATCCTTGAACCTTTTAACTTGAAAATTCCAATTGCTTCTACCCAAGAGCATGCGGAGGTTAAGTGTATGGGCTTATTTTCATTATCTTAATAAAATGATGAATGCAATACATTTCACTTATACCATGTTTTCTATTTTTCATTTTTTTTTCTTTCGTTACCATTCTCTCTGCCCTTGCTAAAATCAATATATATTTTTTTATGATTATACCCATTTTTAGGTTTTCTAATAATGAACATTATGGATGACCAAAGCAATAACACCGGGTTTGATTTTGAAAATTTGACTCACATTAGCGAGTTTGATAACAATGATGATTCAGAAGACTATGATTTACCTCATGATCTGCTGAAATGGATGAAACAAGAGAAGAAAATTATAGAACCCCACCAGGAATCAATTGACCCATTAAATTTGAAAGATGGTGACAACAAGAAATAAGTCAGGATCGGTACTTCACTATCACCGATTGAGAAGCAAAAGTTGATGAATTTATTACAATAGTACATAGATGTATTTTCATGGTCTTACCAGGATATGTCGGGACTTAGCACAGAGGTAGTTGAACATAGGTTGCTTTTAAAATCAGAACATCGATCAGTACAATAGAAGTTAAGACGCATGAAGCCAGAAATGTTACTGAAGATAAAAGAAGAAGTAAAAAAGTAATTTGACATTGGTTTCTTAGAAGTAGCCAAATACCCTGAATAGGTAGCCAATATAGTCCCAGTTCTCAAGAACGATGAAAAAGTTAGAATGTGTGTGGACTATCGAGATTTAAATAGGGCTTGCCTAAAGGATAATTTTTTATTGCCACATATTGATACCCTTATGGATAACACTGCTAAGCACTCCACTTTTTCATTCATGGACGGGTTCTCTGGCTACAATCAGATTAAAATGGCTCGTGAAGATATGGAGAAAACTACATTTGTGACAATGTGGAAGATGTTTTGCTATAAAGTTACGCCTTTTGGGCTAAAGAATGCTAGTGCCACGTATCAAAGAGTGATGATCACTCTTTTTCATGATATGATGCATAAGAAGATAAAGATATATGTTGATGACATGATAGCTAAGTCTCAAGAAGGGGAAGATTATGTTGTTAATTTCAGAAAGCTTTTTGAAAGAGTACGAAGATACTAGCTCAAGCTAAATCCAGCCAAATGCACCTTTTGTGTTAAATCTAAAAAATTATTAGGGTTTACAGTCAGTGAAAGAGGTATAGAAGTAGACCCTGATAAAATTTAAGCCATTCAAGAATTATCAGCACCACGCACGCAAAGGGAAGTGAGAGGCTTTTTGGGGCGATGAATTATATTTCTCGCTTCATATCTCAACTTATCTCAAAATGTGATCCAATTTTCAAGTTGCTTCATAAAAATAATCTTGGTGAATAGGATGAAGAATGCCAAAATGCATTTAAAAAAATTAAAGGGTATTTGATAAGCCCACCGGTGTTGGTTCCACCAGTTGCAGAAAGACCGTTGATTTTATATCTAACGATTTAAGAAAAATTGATGGGATGTGTATTGAGGCAAAGAGATGGAACTGGCAAGAAAGAGCATGCTATATACTATTTGAGTAAAAAGTTTATAGAGTACAAGACCAAGTACCCTCAAATAGAAAAAATATGTTGTGCCCTGGCTTGGACTACTCGTAGACTCAGACAATACATGTTCTACCATATGATGTGGCTAATATCAAAATTAGATCATCTCAAGTATATTTTTGAAAAACCATCTTTATCAGGCAGGCTAACGAATTGGTAGGTCATGCTCTCAGAATATGATATTGTGTACGTGACATGAAAATCCGTAAAAATGAGTGCAATTGTTGATTTTCTGACTGATCGAACTATAGAAGATTATGAACGTATGAAGTTTGACTTTTCAAATGAAGATTTGATGGCAATCTTACAGGATGAAGATAAAAAGCCTGTAAGAGAAGTATGAAAAATATTTTTCGATGGGGCATCCAATATAATGGGGCATGGCATTAGCGCAGTGCTAATATCCCCAAAAGAAAATTATTACCCATGTACCGCAAGGTTAGATTTCAATTGCACAAATAATGTCGCTAAATATGAGGCATGTGTCAAGGGGTTACAGATGGCCATTGAAAAGAAAATTGAAACACTAGAAGTATATGAGGATTCTGCCTTGGTAATTTATCAACTAAAAGGTGAATGGGAGACCAGGGACTCGAAACTAGTGTTATACCAAAAGCACATAGCTGGCTTGAGGAAACATTTTCAAAAGATTCAATTTCAGCATGTTCCTCGAGAAGAAAATCAGATTGCTGATGCCTTGGCCACTTTGGCAGCGATGTTTAAGTTAAATAATGGTGTGAGAATCCAACCCGTTAGAGTACAAATGAAAGTTTCACCAGCTCACTGTTCAAATGTGGAAGAAGAGATGGATTGATAACCATGGTACTATGACATTGTACAGTATATCAAGTGTCAAAACTACCCAGAGCAGGCTTCAAAAAATGATAAGAGGATCATTCGAAGATTAGTAACAGGTTTTGTGCTTGATGGAGAAATCTTGTATAAAAAGAGTCAAGATTAGATTTTGCTAAGGTGCGTCGATGCTGTGAAAGTAAGAATGATACTTAAAGAAGTACACAAAAGAATTTATGGAACACATGCTAATGGGCATATGATGGCCAAATAGATCATGAGAGCTGGTTACTACTAATCTACAATGAAAAATGATTACATCAGTTATGCCAAAAAATATCACAAATGTCAAATTTATGCAAATAAAACTCATTCTTCTCCAATCTCGCTGCAGTCTTGGCACCACCATGACCTTTCTCCATGTGAAAAATGGATGTGATCGGACCTATAACCCCTAAAGCTTCAAATGGGCATCGATTTATCTTTGTGGTAATCGATTATTTTACAAAATGGGTAGAAGCAGCTTCGTATGTTAGTATTATGCGATCAGTGATGTGTAGATTTATAAAAAGAGAGATAATATATCGATATAGTCTCTCAAAAAAGATTATCTCAGATAATGCTACCAATTTAAACAATAAAATGATGAAAGAATTATGTGCACAGTTCAAGATCAAGCATCATCATTCAGCACCATATCGTCCAAAAATGAATGGTGCAGTGGAAGCTACGAATAAGAACAGCAAGAGAATATTGGGGAAAATGATTGACACATATAAGGATTGACATGAAAAGTTACCTTTTGCTTTGCTTACCTATAGAACATCAATCCAAACCTCCACAGGGGCCACCCTGTTTTCACTAGTGTATGGGATGGAAGTTGTACTGTCAATTGAAGTGGAAATTCTTTCTCTAAGAGTGTTGATGGAGATAAAATTGGATGAGGTAGAATGGGTTTAAGATCGTTTCAAGCAGCTGAATCTTATTGAAGAGAAAAAGCTCTCAGCACTCAGTTATGGACAAATGTATCAAAAAAGAATCATCCGAGCACATGACAAAAGGATACGACCCCGATGCTTTCGTGAGGGCGAATTGATTTTGAAAAGGATTTTGCCATATCAGCATGACAATAGAGGAAAATGGACACCTAACTGGAAAAGTCCATATGTCGTAAACAAGGTTTTTTCTTGTGGGGCTCTGATCCTTACAGAAATGGACGGAGATGAATTGTCAAGTCCTGTAAATTCAAACATTGTCAAGAAATATTTTTCTTTAAAAAAAAAAGCAAAAAAAAACAACAAAAAAAAATAAAAAATGAAAAAAGAAGTGATTCAGATTGAAAACCCGAAAAGGGCGGTTTAAGTCAAAAGAAGGGTCATTTAAGCTAAAAACCTATAAAGACGGCTTGAATGAAGATGGAACTCGGAGAAAGTTTTTTTCCAGAGAACAAATGAGTGGCACCGAATAGACGAATTGTCACCAAAATTAAAAGATATGACTTTTAGGGGGCAAGTTCTCATTAGTCACAGATGTGGGGCAAAAATTGGTCATATGAAATCATAGGTGACAAGATCACAAATGTAACGAGTTTTTGGGAAAAGACCTGGTCCAAGTAGGTCGAAGTCATCCAAATGTTCATTTTTTAAAGTGATATTCGATTTTTGAAATACTTTTGGATCAACTGTTCTTTATGTCTCAAAAAAATTATCTTTCTAAACTCAAAATATCCTATTACTGATCGTATTGCACACCCAACTTTTAACATGAAATCATTCCATTTGTCATTGAAAATTAAGATATTGATTGATAAAGTTCATAATAGACCAATGCATTGCTCGAAAAGAGAATGCAATATGAGGATGACAAAAATAGTAACACGAAGGTAGAAAGAATGAAAGGAAATCGATTGATTACTGAGGACAAAGAGGAAAAAAGGGATAAAAAAAAGAGATTTTAGAGAGATTAAAAGTCGGATGGGTCCGTCATGAGACAGAGATTTCTGGTCAAAAATTGAAAGAGTCAAAAGGACGAGATTACTAGAAGCGGCTTTTAAATTTGAAAGAATTGAATCAAAAGTTGAATTAACTTGGATGAAATGCATGATATAATTCGTTGACGACATCTTTGTCTTTTCATTCATCATAATCATTGCACGCATTACATGCCTCTCGATAAGTTGCATAGAAGGTTTCTTTATGAGATATCAAGAAGAATCAACATTTTTTTCTCGAAACAAAGATGATGGCCTTGAAGATGGTATGTTAGCATAATTTTTAAAATCGAAACTATTGGTCTATGAAGTACCCAATCTTCTATTTCTCAACTCACAGCTCAGTCTTATATAGTTCCCTGACTTACGGTTCAGTCTCAGTCATCTTTAATCTTTAACTCGCAGTTTAATCCTGATCATTTCATTATTTCTCTGACTTGTGATTCAATCCCAGTCATCTTTAATCTTTGACTCGTAGTTTAATCCCGGTCATTTCATTCTCTGACTTGCGGTTCAATCCCAGTCATCTTTAATCTTTGACTAGTGGTTTAATCCCGGTCATTTCATTAATTTTTTTACTTACGATTTAGTCCCAGTCATCTTTAATCTTTAACTCGCGATTTAATCCCGATCATTTCATTAATTCTCTGACTTGTGGTTCATTCCCAATCGTCTTTAATCTTTGACTTATGGTTTAATCTCGGTCATTTCATTCTCTGACTTGCGGTTCAATCCCAGTCATCTTTAATCTTTGACTCGTGATTTAATCCCAGTCATTTCATTAATTTTTTGACTTACGATTTAGTCCTAGTCATCTTTAATCTTTGGCTCGCGGTTTAATCTCGGTCATTTCATTATTTCTATGACTTACGATTTAGTCCCAGTCATTTTTAATCTTTGACTCGTGGTTTAATCCCGGTCATTTCATTCTCTGACTTGCGACTCAATCTCAGTCATCTTTAATTTTTGACTCGTGATTTAATCTCGATCATTTCATTAATTTCTTGACTTGCGATTTAATCTCAGTCATCTTTAATCTTTAGCTCGTGGTTTAATCTCGATCATTTCATTAATTTCCTCGACTTACAGTTCAGTCACAGTCATCGTTAATATTTGATTCGTGGTTTAATCCCGATCTTCTTATTATCTGATTTATGGTTCAATCCCGATCTTTTTAATTTAAAATCGTAGTTTAATCTCAATTGTTGTTGTTATCTTTTGACTCGTGGTTTAATCTCAGTCTCCTCATTTTTTACTTGTGATTCAATCCAAGTTCAATCCTGATCTTGTTATTCATTGACTCGTAGTGTCGTCTCGATCACTTTCTTTATTATTTGACTTTCGGTGTTGCCTTAATCGATTCTTTGTTTGTCAACACATAATGTCATTTTTTTTATCACTTGAACTGACCCAAAAAAATCTGTTTGGATTCTGGACAAAATTGTTATCTTTATTTTTGCTCTATTACTGATTATCAGTAATGTGTAAAAAGGGGCAGCTGTGGACATCAATTTTTGTCCCAAAATAAAATAAAATAATAATATTATTATTACAAAATACGAAAATACAGGAAAAAAATACCAAGAATAATACAAAATATAAAACAAAAAAATAAAAAAAATACCAAAAAAAAGAGAACAGAAGACAGAAAAAATCAAGGATGGCAGTGGTGCCATCCCCGACACCACTGCCACCAGACCCTACCCTCCACCCCTCTAATTACTCCTTCCGTTGACAAACGTCAAATAAGACAGAAATGAATAAAAGAGGCATGAGGCTTGTGTTTACATCCCGTGACTACGCCCCATGCCCTTCCCTCCAAACACGTATGGCTGGAGCTCTATAAATAGAGCTCCTAGCAAAGCCAAAACAGACAGAGAAGAAGAAAGGGGAGATTCTGTCAAAAATTAAAAAAACCATAAAAAAAAATCAAACAGTCCTCCCCGTAGGGAGGAACCCAACATCGAGAGCCCCTGCACAAAGAAAAATCAAGGTCAGATTCAAAAATAATAATAATAAAGTCATAATACCAAAAAAAAAGATCTGACCAAAACTTTACTAGCAGATCTAAAGAAGTGAGGACACTTTTTAGTGAAAGGGACCTCAGATATAAACTCAGGAGGTCGAGGGGAACACTTTGATATTTTTTGGAAATTTTTTTACCACCATCAACGGCGGCCAGTGATCGAAAAACGGAGGCTGCAACGACGGAGAAACGGTCGGCCAGCCATCTGCGTTTGGCCGGAGAGAAAAAAAAATGAGAGAAAAGAAGCTTTTTTTTTAAAAAAATGAAAGGAATGAAGGAAAAAAATTTAACTTTTATATAAATTGTCAATAGCTAAAACGACGTCGTTTCAATAAAAGCCCAAAACGACGTCGTTTAGGCCAAGGAGGATCCGTGCGTTGACCTGGACCTGGACCTGACCCGTTAACCCGGCTTTTCAGCGACTCTGAACCAGTTTGATCAGAGTGAAACAAACCATTCCCTTGGACCGACCTGAACTGTGCCTCAGCTGGCTCAACCGAACCACCGCTGAATCGAACCTTTTTCGGTCCAACCGAACCGTCGTTGATCGGACCGTTGACCGGTCCGGTTCAGGTAAAAACAAAAAATTTTTTTAATTTTCTAATTTTTTTATATATAATATTATTTTTGTTATTTTAAGTATTTTTTATATATTTATGCATAAATGTTTAAATTTATTAGGATAAATATTTAATTATTATTAATAATAATAAAATGAAAACAATATATAAAAAAATATATATTTTAAAAATGTTTAAATAGTAATAATAATGAAATAAGCTTTTTATTTTCCCTGCCTAGATGTTGGAGGAAATAAAAAATATTTTTTCAAACAAATAATTTCGCCTAGATGTTGAAAAATTATTATTAATAAATTTTCATAAAAAATATTTATATAAGAAATTTTAACTAGTTTTCAAAAATTATAAAAAATTTGAACTTGCTCTGAAAGTCCGCCTAGATGATGGAGATTTTTAGAGATGTTCGCGTTTTAATTAAACCCCAA